AATATATACTTTATGTATGTTTACTTTGAACTGGCACCTTCAATAATATATGAGTCATTTTTCATGGTAATATGCACCATTTCATTATCTTTCAATAATAAAATGTATTACGTTAAAATAGACAATTTGGTATAAGAATTCTTTTAAAATTAATATTGATCTTTTGTGATTTATTTTTAAAAAACTGTTATATATATATATATACACTATACAGTTTAATCTCTCACCCAGAACACTATATTTGATTCAAGATTTTGGAGTGTAAGTTAACTAGTTTTCAATCACGTATATCTTCATAAGTATATGTTTACAAATTATTATTCTAATTAATAATTAATATCGTGAAGGATTGTTCTGATAATCAATTTCGTAATAACATTATACCAATAAAATCTATTACGTATAATCAATAATCAAATATGCTAATAAAAGTAATTTCTGAAAAAAATGATTGAAATTATTTAAATTATTTATATATTTTGCAGGTACACAATTTAGAAGTAATTGATCATAATGGTGTTCAATTTGGAGGAGGAAATACCATAAAACGATAATAATATAAAGACATTAGAACCGAGTACATCGAAAGTTCTTGATACCAATGCTATAATCTTGGATGTGACTAATACAAAGCTCGTCGACAATAATGTTGCCCTAAATAAAAGTACATTAAATTCTGAAGGTAATATAATGCAACCGACAATTTTGGCGTTAGAAAAGAAACTGATATATTATTGAAGGTGCCAATTTGTGAACATTCATAAAATGTATATCCTTTTGTTGCATATATACGTAGTAATGATCTAACAACACATGCACACTAGATTTTTATAATAGTAATGTTAAATCATCATTATTACGTGTATATACTGCAAAAGAATATACACTTTATGTATGTTTACTTTGAAATGGCACCTTCAATAATATATGAGTCATTTTTCATGGTAATATGTATAATAGTATTTTTTATATATATATTCATTTCCATTTCATTATCTTTCAATAATAATACAAAAAACTATTATAGTTTGATATCTCTCACCTAGAACACTATATTTGATTCGAGATTTTCGAGTGTAAGTTAACCAGTTTTCAATCACGTATATCTTCATAAGTATAAGTTTACAAATTATTATTCTAATTAATAATTAATATCGTGATAAGGATTGTTCTGATTATACCAAAAAAATTTATTACGTTTATTAGTGTGGCGACTCTTATCAGTCGCACTAACGAAAACCCACCGAGCAGCTACCTTTCGTCAAGCGCTCGGTGGGAACATCCAAGCGCCTGTAGCACTCGACCATACAAGCGCCCGTAGCACGCGACCGCGCGCAAGTACTGCGCGACGCGCAACTACCGCGGTACGCCCACCAGAAGGCTAGCGCCGATAATGTTATCGCGTGCGAAGAATCGGTCCAGGGCCCTTATAGATAAGGCGCCGAACCGATCAACCGACACCGAGCAGCGGCATGCAGGGCTATACCTCCCAGCAATTTTTATCGCAGCTACGGTCTACCAAGCAGTAGCAGCTACCGCCGCTACCGCAGCTACAGCAGCTATCGCAGCCTCAGCCGCAGCAGCCATCGCAGCGCCGACAGCAGCAGCTATCGCAGCCTCAGCCGCAGCAGCCATCGCAGCCTAGACAGCAGCAGCCATCGCAGCCTCAACAGCAGCAGCCATCACAGCCTCAGCCGCCGCAGCCATCGCAGCCATCGCGGCCTCAGCAGCAGCGGCCAGCGCAGCAGAGAGGAGCCTCGCTGATCCAGCGTCTACGCCAGCAGCTCCTGCGCCGCCGCCGACTACAAGCTGCGACTCCCAGGATCCGACCAGTGGAGGCTACAGGATTGCTCCGTCGCCCATCGAGACGGCAACACCAGCTGGGCAACGCGCCGCAGTCTCCGCCCGGGTCGCCGACACTGCCGACGGCTCAGCAGAGACCAGAGTCGACCTCCGTGCGGAAGGTGACCCTCCAGCTTGCTGCCTGGAAGCTACACCGGCTGGACATACCGCCGCCTGCCAGGACTAGGCCACCGAGGTACTGCCTACACCCATGGGACCTGCGAGTGCGCCGGTACACCTCACCACGATATCTGCAGGCGCCTCCGCCAGCGAGACAGCCGGAGCCGTCCTCTGGATCGAAGTGGGAGACCACTAACCAACCCGGAGACGAGAACGCAAACTACTGGGGCCCGGAAAAGAGGACCGCGACGCAGCCTGCGCTCACTTACTGCGAGCGAGTAATTGAGAAGCGTCGTACCACCAAGTGGACTCATACGCAGCCACTGCTCACCTACAAGGAGCGAAGTCCCTCTAAGTGAGGAGGAAACCAAACGGCCCTTTTCAAGGCCACCATAAAATACACTGACCTACCATCATTGTATGTATCTGTACATAGCCATAATAAACGTTGTACATAAATTATATACAGAGTCACGACTTCAAGCTCTCTCTTGCGATCCCCGGCGCCGCACCGACAGAGGCCGACAGCGACGGTCGGTCGGTGACTCATCTTACATCTACCAGTAGCGGGTAGACGTAACCGTATACGCTAAGCGCATTGCTACAATTAGCATATTTGATTATACGTATGTAATATTTTGACATTGGAATAAATACACTAATAAACGTAATAAGTGTTTTGGTATAATGTTATTACGAAATTGATTAACAGAACAATCGTTCTTCACGATATTAAGTATTAATTAGAATAATAATTTGTAAACGTATACTTATGAAGATATACCTGAAAACTTGTTAACTTACACTCCAAAACCTTGAATCAAACATAGTGTTCTAGGTGAGAGAAATAACTATCAAAATAATTATCAAATAACAGTTTTTTACATTTTAAAAGTAAATCACAAAATATGAGTATTGATTTTAAAAGAATTCCTATATATAAGAAATTAACCTTGGCATACACATAACGAGGTATTTAAGTACATGTTCGAGTTAGTCTGAGTCAAATCATTAATTATGAATTAGAATAATATTTTGAAAATGTATACTTTATGAAGATACATGTGATTGAAAACTATAACTCACACACATGTGCTTTATCTTGAATCAAATATAGTGTCCTAGAGATCGAAATAACAGCTTTTTTAAAAAATGAAACAAAAGATGAGTATTATTTTCGAAAGGATTCTTATGCGCTCCACATTCTTGAATTAAATATAGTGTTCTAGGTGAGAGATCAAAATAACAATTTTTTATATTTCAAAGACGAATCACAAAAGATCAATATTAATTTTAATAGAATTCTTATACCAAATTGTCTATTTTAACGTAATACATTTTATTACTGAAAGATTATGAAATGGAAATTAATATGTATATAAAAAACATTGGCATACATAATGAGGTACCCAAGTACAGGTTCCAATTAGACTTACAAGGGGAGGGCACATCCAGCATATCGCCAATTGAGATGAAAAAAAATCAGGTGATTCTTTGAACAAAAAAACGAATGCGTGTTTTGGGATTTTTCGAGATAGGGCCCTGATCGGTAAAAAAAAAAATTTAATGTAAGTAAAAATACGACATTCATAATTAATTTAATTACAAAAATTATTTCTTATTTTTTATTATGTACCAATTCTATCTTTAAAAATCTAGATTGTCTACTTCAATCAATAATTTCTTCAACTATTAATAATGTTCCATTTATTTTTAATATTGGTTACTTTAACCATTTCATATTGTAATTTCATGTGTATGTTGATAACATTAAATTAACCTCGATAAATTTAAATTTAAATTAATTTACTGTTACCCTGGTAGAAATTCTCTATAAAATAATATTATATTATATTATATAATATAACGGTCAAAATCTAATGTACATAATGAAAAATAAGAAATAATTTTTGTAATTAAATTAATTATGAATGTCGTATTTTTACTTACATTAAATTTTTTTTTTTTACCGATCAGGGCCCTATCTCGAAAAATCCCAAAACACGCATTCGTTTTTTTTGTTCAAAGAATCACCTGAATTTTTTTCATCTCAATTGGCGATATGCTGGATGTGCCCTCCCCTTGTTAGT